CACGTTACACACACACACACGTACCACACACACGCACACGCGCACACACATACGCAGATGCACACGCACGTACACACACGCACGTACACACACGCACGCACACACACGCACACACACGCACGCACGCACACACACGCACGCACACACATAAACAATCCCGCACATGTGCACACATCGACCCCACGTACACGTACACGAGCGAGCACGTGCAACCACCAGCGGTGCCTTCCAACCATGCACTCAGTAGCGAAGATGAGGATTTCACAACGACTACCTATAGATTAGGCATACCATGGATTCGCATTCATGCGATGAGTGTAGTGTTATAGGATGGCTTCCCGCATCGCATTATGATAACGCATTTTTGCCGCAGAAACCCATCACCCGTCTCCCTCCTCCCCCCTTTCCCCCTCCCCTCTCCCCCCTCCCCCCTCCTCCTCCCCCCTCCTCCTCCCCCGCATCTTCGTACGCCCGCTCGCCCGCCGCGCAAAGACGTGTCTCACTAACCCCCCGTGAACCCAAACGCAAATAAGCAAATGCATAATAAATACGTAAATGCTCCGTAAAAACAGTATATGGAACCGCGTCGTGGGTTAGTCGGGCATGGTAAGGTGGCGCTGGGTGTGTAGCGGCGCGGCGTGCGTGCGTGCGTGCGTGCGGGCGTGCGTGCGTGTGTGTGTTGTGCGTGTGTGCGTGTGTGCGTGCGTGCGTGCGTGCGTGTGTGTGTGGGCGTGCGTGCGTGTGTTGTGCGTGCGTGCGTGCGTGTGCGCGTGTGTGCGTGCGTGCGTGTACGTGCGTACGTATCACGGATTTCGTCTCACAGAAAATGCCAATATTTCTGCTGTCGCGCTATTTATAGATATATACTGAAGTACCTATCTACAGCGGCGCGTTCGCTATTATATAAATAAATCAAATAAGTTAAATGTGTGTATTGTGTGCGTGCGTGCGTGCGTGCGTATGTGCGTGTGTTTTTGTGTGTGTATGTTTATAGGCGTTTATGGTTTGTGCGGGCGGGCGGGCGTGCGTGCGTACGTCCATCCACGTTCCAAGTGTACATACGTACATATTAATTATGCGATCGCTCTTCGTGAATCCTATACTGTCGGGCTGCGCTCTCCACCGTGTGAACTCGTCTGCTTCCCTGCCGCCGCCGCCGCCATGGTTACGGCTGCGAGTACTTTAAAACCTCCCCGCTGAATGTTTGAAGCTAGATCGTTTTGAGTAATTAATTTGCTTCTATTTTTGAATTGTGTAAATTGTTTGCGTGAACTAATTGTATCAACATCATCCTACTCCTCCTCCTCATCATCATCATCATCATCATCATCATCATAATAATAATAATAATAATAATAAGTATCATCACCATCATCATCATCATCATCACCATCATCATCATCATCATCATCATCATCATCATCATCATCATCACCATCATCATCCGCATTATCATCATCGTTGTCGTTGTCGTCGTCATATCGTGTTCTTCTTCACGTGAAGACATCCCCCCCCGGCCTCCGCTGCAGCTGCTGCCTGTGTGTGGGAGCGTTTGCAGTATAGTGCAGTCGCCAGCTTGCTGTATATATATATATATACTACGGCTGGGCATTACGGAAGGGTTTCTCCGGAGTTTTTTTCGTGGGCAGGAGATTTGAGAGCGGCGCACGGCGGTGGATAGTCGGCTGCTGCTGCTGCTGTCATCATCATCATCATCGTCATCATCATCATCATCATCACCATCGTGTCGAATCCGGAATCCGAATCCGTATCGAGGCGCGGCGAACGATTGATGTGATGTGCCGCAATTTCCAAGTTGTTATACGAGCGAAGCTGCTGTTATCGCGGTAACGCAGCACGTACTAGCAGCAGCAGCAGCAGCAGCAGCGGCGGCGGCGGCGGCAGCAGTAGCAGCAGCAGTAGCAGCAGCAGCAGCCTGCAAGTGTTGTTCCGGAGGTATCGTGACCTTCGTTGTTCTCGCGTTGTTCGCAGGATGTGATGGAGATCATCGGAGTGATCGCGGTGATCGTGAACAGCGCGCTGATCGGCATGTCCGGACAGATCCACCGCATGTTCCCGAACCTCACCCGCGTTGGAACCATCGTGCTCATCGTTGTTCTCGAGGTACGAACGCGCGGAATGTTCCCTTGGAACGTACATGTGGGAGTTCTATGTGGAATTCCAGCGTGGCGTCAAATCATTTATGCGGAAGGTCAACCAAAGCATGGAACATATGCATGAAAGCTGCATGTGGAACATCCTCACAGAACTTCCTCCACATTCCAACATCTTTGAGGAATGCCTGAATGAATGTTTTATGTGGAGTATGTCTGTGGAAGTTCCATTCAGAACATCAGCGCAGAACATCCACATGCATCATTCTGCATGGAACATTTGTTCCACGAACATCCCGTGCAGAGCGTTTACGACGTGAAACGGCATCGCTTGCTGCGACTTTCATAGCTTTTTATTTTCATTATATTATATTATATCATTTATCTGTTTTTATTAGCTTTTATATATTTTTGTAGCTTTTTATATCACTGCGCCAGAGCTAATCTGTGTCATGTTACCGCTGTGAATGCGATGTTATTGCGGCGTTGCCGTGGCAACAAATGACGGGGAGTATTAGGACAGTTGCTATTAGTGATGTCCCGATGATCGATTATAATCGAAAATCGATCGATTATAGTCTCAAATTCGATAATCGATTATGAAAACAAATAATCGATTATCGGAAATTCACTTTTAATTTTTTTTTTTTAAATCTTTAATATTTTTTTCCATGAATCACTGTTAACATAGGTCCATTCTGATTGCAAAGCTGTACTAGTGTACTACATGGACAAATTGGACAGTTTCTTTGTTTTGGTTTGACACTGTCCCACAGATGTTATCCGAAGATGAGATTCTACTCTCCGTATTGTTTGTTACATTGTGTTGGAGAGGATATTCCATTGGCAGGACATTAACTCGGCTACACAGCCTACACTATTAGAACACACACAACTTACTTACTATAATAAAGAATAAGTCTTGATCATGTTTGTTTAAAACTTTTAATGTTTTAATAAAGGCATTTAATCCATTTCTTTTTAAATTGATTAAATACTGTATAGGAACAGACATTGATATACATACAGCAACCTTCACAGAGTTAATACATGATTATAAAACATGATAATATTGAATGCTATGTATAATTGTATATACAAAGTAAGATTAAATTAAATCTATGCTATCATTAACCGATTATAATCGATTATCGATCGGTTAAGGGAAACCGATAATCGATTATGAAATTCCAGCCGATTCCCATCACTAGTTGCTCTGCGTGTTTCAGCATGCCATTCTAGCGATGAGGTACGCCATCACGCGCGCCATACACGAGGTGCCAGGCTGGGTCGCCACGGAGATGGCCAAGATGGAGTTCAAGCGACGACAACTCATAAGGGTAGGTGGCAGCACCGTCACGTTGGTTGGCTTCTTGGCCAGTGCGGCGTGGGATAGCGTTAATTGTTCGACTCGTTTTTTCGTAATCTGTGATTTATCGAAAACTACGCCGAGGGTTTTGTTACTGATTAGTTGAATTGATTGTTTGTAACGTCTATCTAGTAGCTTTTTCTTCTTCTTTTTCTTCTTCTTCTTCTTCATATTTTTCTTGTTTTTCTTCCACATTTTCTCTTTCTGTATCTGCTTTCTCTTCTTGTTCTTGTTCTTCTCCTTCTTCCCCTTCTTGTTCTTCTGTTTCGTCATCTTCTTCATCTTTTTCTTCATTCTCCCTTTCTTCCTTCCTTCCTTTTTTTATCTTCTGCTTCTCCTGGCTGGATCACTCGACCCTAGTTCTGGACTCCGGTCCAAGACTACGTCACATTCGCGTTGCAGTTGTACATAGACGCAGCAGCGAGCGTTGATATCTGAATGATGCTGATGTTTCTGCTAGACACGTATTCTTTTATACTAGATAATGGAGTCGAGCATCTCCGTGGATGAGGACGGGGAGCGGGAGGCTGCGGGTAACCCCGTTGCCACGGCGACGGACTGCGACGCGTCGGGTCAGCAGCAGCCGAGGCCGCAGCGGCCGACGTCCCTCCATCCATCTAGATCTCGGCCGCAGGGTGAGGGAAGGGTTTGCTACTCACGTTCGGTTTGCGTCTGATGCTGCCTCACTCCTGCTAATTAAATGTCGAAGTTATTGTCGAGCAGTTTGTACTCGTTAATGATTTGGCCCTTATAATATTTTTTATTCATACTTGATTGATTGAATGAATGTATGTATTGAGTGAAAATATTCATGTGAGCGTGATATTTTATGGGAATGCTGCTACTATGACTAGTACTGCTGCTGGTGCTGCTGCTGCTGGTGTTGGTGGTGGTGGTGGTGGTGGTGGTGGTGGTGCTGCTGCTGCTGCTGCTGCTGCTGCTGCTGCTGGTGGTGGTGGTGGTGGTGCTGCCGTTATTGTTGTTGTTACTACTGCTGCTGCTGCTGCTGCTGGTGGTGGTGGTGGTGCTGCTGCTGCCGCCGCCGCCGCTGCTGCTGCTGCTACTGCTGCTGCCGCCGCCGCCGCTGCCACTGCTGCTACTGCTTAGACAGGTGAAGGTGACACAGACAGGTGAGGGTGACATAGACAGGTGAGGGTGACATAGACAGGTGAGGGTGACATAGACAGGTGAGGGTGACACAGACAGGTGAGGGTGACATAGACAGGTGAGGGTGACATAGACAAGTGAGGGTGACATAGACAGATGAGCGTGACATAGACAGGTGAGGGTGACATAGACAGGTGAGGGTGACATAGACAAGTGAGGGTGACATAGACAGGTGAAGGTGACACAGACAACGACCCTTATGTCACCCTCACCTGTCTGGTGAGGGTGACATAGACAGGTGAGGGTGACATTATGTCACCCTCACCTGTCTATGTCACCCTCACCTGCCAGGCACCTATGTTGTCGACGCGTTCGCCGAACAGACGCTTGTAGCTCATGCAGATCTTGAACGCGTCGCTGCGAATCTCGACGAGGTTGTTCACGAACGCGCAGAGCGCCGCCATCGGGAACGCCGACGAGAACAACGCGACGTAGCCAAACTGCATCGCGATCTCCAGGTAGTCCTCCAGCGTGCCGTCGTACTGTAATACACAGATATAATAGTTATACTACGTATAATAGTTATAGTAGGTATAATAGGCATACTAGTTATACTAGGTATACTAGTTATAATGTGTAGCATATGTGGGTAGTCATCTATTGTGCTGTTGTACTGTGATAGGAGATAGATTTATTAGTTATAATAGTCATAATAGTTATACTAGTTATAATTGTTTTAAAAAGTAGTTATACTAGTTATAATAAATAATACGGGTAAGGCTCCAACATTCTATCATATTTACAAAATCATCACATATCATACTCATAACATACATGCACACACAGTGTAATACGTACGCTGGGCATGGCGGCTTATAATAATTAATACGGGTAGTAAGTGCTCCAACATTCTATCATATTTACAAAATCATCATATATCATACTTAAAAACACTTTAATTTATATTAACTTTATTATATTTATTTTCATTTTTATTTTTATATCACACTTGTAAAACACACACACTAACAGTGTTATATATACACGTACGCTGGGCATGGCGGCTTCGACCTCCGCCTGTGTGAGGCGTGTGCGATGTGCGCGCTGGAAGCTGACGTTCCTGCAGCTCTGCTGTGCTAGCACGTCCGCTGTCGGTGTCTTCACTTTGCTGCCTCCTCCCTCCGTGCTGGCAGGCAACACAACGATGATGCGTACAATCACCAATAGCAACGGTAACTAATAGCAACGGTAAGCAATAGCAATAGTTAACTAACAACAGAAACTGATAGCAATGGTAACTAGACAGAGGGCACTCACGGAGAGTGCATACCTCCGACAGCATGTACAGCACGAAAAGAGGAACACACGAAGACACGAAGACGATCGATCGACAACATGTACACGAAAACACGAACACACGCACAAACAAAATAAATCCCAATATTCGATACTTTACT